GTTACAAACTGCTTAGAAGAAAAAAGACTTTATGTTTGGCAATATTTGTTTAGCTGATTGAATTTATGCACCTAAAATTACCTGCTACATAAGAAGAGATAATCTGTTTATGCTCACTCCTCCTCGGTAGCACTAGAGAGATACTTATGAACCACAAACCCAACTTCGAGATCCTCACCATGAACACATCACAGAAATGAGTACAAAAACAGGATGTGTTGAGGGTGTTAGTGGGGCTGTTGGATGTCATTGTTTTCTTATTACTGAGTATCTCCATGCTGTCACCTGGAAGCAATATTAGGCAGCATGTGTCCACCTGCCTGTCAGATTGAATTTCTTAATTGGTTTAACCTCGGCTGAAGTGTTTTCAAAGTGGACTTTTTTATCTATTCACATAATGCATGACAATCGTGCATGACAAAGCTACACCTTATGTACAAATTAGTTGTCACAAGATATTCACACCTAGTGTCGGCCTGGTATATCGTTTGTGTTACTGAGGCAGCATGCTCATGTTTCAACCTTTAATTCTTTTGGTGTCATACACTTTGAACAGGGTGAAGTCATGTATTGAACTGACTTGCGGGTCCATTATTCTATTTTGCTTTTGCTAAATGGTTGTGGAAAGTTAACGTTTCCATTGTCAGTCAGCTCTTGCTGTGCAGGTCAGTGTGGTGAAAGACTGTCTTATCACTTGTGAACAAAATTGTCACGACTGGGGGCAGCAGCCGTGTGACTTGTGGAAGGAGGACTCAAATGCAGCACTTATTAGGATGTGAGGGTGATTTATTAAGAATACCGAACATAAAGTGGGGATGGCAAAACAGAACTAACGATGAACTAAACTGGGAGAAACTAAACCATAGAGCAGCAAACCTGAACATGAAGGGAGGACAGCAGGGAGAACACGCAGGGGATTCACAAAGTAATGTAGCGTACGCAGGGTAACACAGAGGATGAACACAGACAACGCGACGAGGAGCACAGGCAGACACGCAGTGTAAATGCACACACCAGGTAATTAGGAAATGGCAGACAGGCGGGGACACAGCTGGAACTAATGGACATAACGAGACAAAGTAAAACAGGAAACACACAGACTGTTTTACACTACCAACTGGGGACACGAACAGAACACAGAGGGGAGGCACAGGTAGGGATGATAGAAACACACAACTCAAACCCTAAGAACAAATACAAAATCAGAATAAACTAGAACAATGATAATAATAAACTTAAAGTGCTGGGTCATCGACCCAGGACCATGACAAAAATTAGTAATAGCAAAGCGCTCTAGATTCATACCGGTTATTTTTTTATCCCATTTTTTGGAAATGATCTGTAATTAAGGTGGAGGCGGCACTCCTCTGAGACCGTCCTCAATGAACGGTAGTGATGGCCAAATGAAGCTTTCTGAAGCTTGTGTTGAAAAACGGTTCATTACTCGAAGCTTTTCAACACAGTCCTCTCTGGTGACATCTGGTGGCCAAAAATATGAAGAGCAGCTTGAATCCACAAAATAAAACCAACTGCTTCATTAAGATTGCCCACGCTACAGAGCGGTGTCCTGTCTGATATTGGACCGCCGTTGTGTTGCTTTGAACATATATTGTTTGGTGGTTAAAAAAACGTGTTTTATTTGGTTAATAAATCATTTTGACCAGTAAACTCTGCTTGTTCAAACATGCACCATGGTGTGGTCTTTCTTTGCTTGTGACTTCTTGATGTTGGTAAATACAATAATTGAAAAATACCACATTACATATAATATACATATGATAATGTACAACACATTATGGAGTATGCTTCTGCTGTGAGGTCCTGCCTCCATGCACTTATGCAGTTAATCGCTAGACGGGTATTTTTATAAATAATATTATATTATGGGAAATTTTCCCAGACATATTCTTGACCTGGGGGTAGAATTGATTGTGAAATGGAAAAGGAAAATGTTTATGAACTTGCAAATGAAAAACATGATGCATTTAAGGTAACCCTTTCTCATTTTTATTTAGGAAGAGAATTTGTTCCACTGTGCGATGGCTGAACCTGTTCATTTTCGTGGCGATAATTTCTTCTGCCTTAAGGAAAATCCCTTCACATGGCACAGAGGAGGCTGCAGTGCAGCGAGACTGGTAGAGATGCAGTTATACAGTCTACCTGGGCCCCACAAACTATCAGCTAAAGAGAATAAATACATTCAATTGCTGCACATTTGGCAGACTAACATTTT